TCATTCTGCAGGTACTCGAAGGAAGCTTCCTGCAATGCAGCGGGTGGCTCAGGGGCGGCCGGAGCACCCCCTGCACCCCACAGTCACCCGCGTGTGCCCGCAGCCGGGGGCTCCACGCGGCCTTGCCTTGGTGATGAAGTCCGAGTGGCGCACGATGGCGCGGATGAAGAAGCGGTAGTCGGTGGCCTCGCTGCCCGCCTGCACCCTGGCAGCCCCCAGGTACAGGTGCATCTTGTGGTTGGCGCAGGGGATGGCCGTCAGGTCGAAGTTGCGCATGCGGCTCAGCTCCAGCTGGAAGGCGAGCGCTGGCTCCAGGTGCCGGTAGATGCGGTCCTCTGCAAACTGGGGCAGCACAGGGCACGAGTGAGCGCTGGCCAACGCCACCAGATGGGTTCTGCTCCAGCCACAGCTCCTACCTCATCCCTGGCTCTGAACGTGAAAAACTTCGGGAATTCTCTCTGGAGCGAAGGGGAGAGAAAAGACAACAGGATTTTGTCTGATTTACAATGAATTCATCAGAAAGAAAAGGCCTTGGAGGTTGCCTGCTCCCCCAGAGGGAAAAGAGCTGGAGTAATCGATGCCTTTTAAAGGCAGCTTAAATCTGTGGAGCAGCCACACAGGAACCACACATTACTATAGACATTAGCAGCATAAAGGATAATACAGGAGATCAATCACTCGTTGAAGCCTTCATTAATTAATTGCCAGCTCCTGACGCTCAGGAGGTACATCCATCACTCAGTGCTACGTCTGCAAGTTACTTATAGATGTCTCTAGGCGTTTTAGAGAGGCAGAAGCTCCATGTGTCTAAAGTCACTGGTGTCTGCCTGCAGCTCGGTCTGCACTCACCTGCTGGGCAATGAGAAACGTGATTCTCCGGAGACCACAGTCAATGAGGAACTTTTTCTGCATGGAAACAGAAGATTCCACCAGTCACAAGAGCTTAAATATCTCCACCGAGGGAGTAAACAAAATCCAAGTGGCTGCTGCGGGGTGCAGTGTTTTGGGGAGCACAGCGTGGAGATGAGGCAGCGCCTTGGGGTACAGTGTCCTGGCTTGCAGGCTCTGCAAAAAGGGGGTCCAGCCCCAGAGACGGACCTTGGACTGGGCAAAGGCTCTGAAGATGGGCACCAGCTTCTCGTCTTCTGCATGGTCAGCCCAGCGGAGCGCGACGTTGAGGATGTGGATCGGCTCCTCGTGCGTGTTCTGGGAATAAAACCAAAGCCCTGGTCAGCCCTGACCAGCAGCAGCGCCATCCTGGCACCACCTGAGAGGGATCAGAAACAGCATCGTGCCCACCTTGGCCTCCTCCTCCTCATAGATAGTGGCTCGTGGCTCGTTGAAGGGCATGCTCTCTGAAGGTGGGTTGGCAAAACAGGACATCACTTCATCGAAGTTCCTGCCCAAATGGCAGGGGTGGGGTGACAGGTCAGTGTATCGTGCCCACCCCTGCCTGAGGGACAGCACTAGCGACAGACCAGGCCCACGGCAAAGCCACAGCTCATGAAAGACAGCTCTTAGCGCTGCTGTGTTCATGCGCAGAGATGCTTAATGTGTGCCAGGCAGCTTTCCCCAGGCTCCACGGGTCCTCAAGAGACACGCCATGTCCCCACCATGGTGCCTGTTGTACTGAAAACACCCAGCCCCAACCTCTGGCTGCAGGAGGAACAGGAGTTGCTGCCAGCTTTGGCTCTTCCACCCCTTGTGCTCTCTAATGACTGCATCAGCACCCAAAAGACACATGTCTGACCAGCCAGGCACGTCCCCTCACCCACCTGGTGAAGTCCTCAAATCTGTCAAAGGCCACCATAGCTCCCAGCCGCTGGCTCAGGGGCGAAAAGCCACTGTCCATGAAGAGCTCAGTGCTGTGCCGGGCCAGGTCAGGGTTGGATATGCTGATGGGGACAGGTATCCTGCAGGGGGGAGCAAGGCAGCCATCAGCCACGGGTGGAGGCACCGCTCCTGGGTCCCATATGGAACCCTGACCCAGAGAGGGCTCATCGGGCTCCACTGGCCAAGGGGGAGCACAACAGCACCCTCTGAGGACCCCCATGTTTTGCGTGGGGGAGCTGATCCACACCCCTGTACCTGTTTGGGTGGGAGGAGGGCAGCATGAACTGGAACTCTACCAGGCAGGTGCTGCCGGTGCTGCAGGCTGTTCAGCTCATAGGCGAGGTACCCGCGTCGCACGTAGACCTGGGAGGGGGATGGCAGGAGGTACCACCACGCCCCTGCTCCCACCACACACATCCATGTCTCCCCCCCAGAGCTGGCATGCCCCTGGGCCCCCCCCAGCCCTCACCTCCAGTGCTGCCATGCACACCGCCTGGTTGGTGTGGTAGAAGAAGATGGGAAGCACATCGAAGATGGTGGTTTCTGAGAGGATCAGTTTCTGGGGGAAGCAAGCAAGGTCTCGGGCAAGGATGAAGTGGAAGCCCCTAGCCCCATCATAGGATGGGAGAGGCACGTTCCGGAGGGGTCCCTCGTGTGGGGCTGTGCAGGACCAGCCATGGGATAACCCAGCCCACCACGGGGACACTGCCAGACCTAGACATAGATCCACACATCAATCCCCCACCAAGCAGGGTGAGGAGCAGGAGGGGGGGGCCTATCAGCAACGGGGTTCACCCCCTCCTCTGCTCCACACAGGCACTGACACTGCAGCAAGGCTTTGACTGCTTTTTTGGCTACTTTTAAGACTAAGCCCCCTGCAGCCTCATAAAGCCACCCGAATTCCCACTGCGGAAAAAAGCACAATTCCCAACCTTCAGGTTTTCAGGGCAGTACTCGTGTCCGTGCATGTCAACAGAGGAGAGGAAGATGGACTCCACCTGGTTGTGCCGCAGCTCGTAGGAGGGCAGGTGAGAGGCAATGAGCACCTGCAAGGGGAGAGGTTGTTGGGAGCACAGGGGATGGGGACAGGGATGGGCACAAGGAGATGAGGTGGTCGCTGACCTGCCGGGCTCTCAGGGCTACTTTGGAGTGCTCGGTCTTGCTGAGCTGTGTCAGCTCGTTGAGGATGGCTGTAAGCTCCTCTGTCAGCGTGGGGTCACGGCCACAGAGCTGGTCCTGCAATGCACACACCACCATGGCTTAACTCAAGGTGGCTTCATCCCACACCCCCAGCCCCTTGGGGACAAGACCTGAGGAGCTGAAGTTCTCTGAACCAATGGAGCAATGCCATACTACAGAACGGAGACAAAGTCCTCCTAACAAGGCAGGAGTGGACACAGGAATGGAAACCCCAAATCCTGGGCATTAAACAAAGGAGCAGGAAAGCAGTTTTCAGGTTTCCACCCACTTTCAAGGGGAAAGCGTGGGGCTGTGTCAGCCACCCACAGCCATGTCCCATCCGCAGCAATGTGGAGCTTGCCTTGGCTTACAGGCTTTTCCCCACCACCACCCTTTACTTCTGGTGTCTCAAGGCATAGGCTGCACTCACAATTAACATGGTCACCAGCAGGTTCTTCTTGGCCACCTGGGCATGAGAGAAGATGCTCTCCAGCACAGGAGTCATGTCAGGTTTGCACTGCTCCCGCAGGCTGATGACACACTTGTCATAGTGGGCTGTGGGGCAGAGCATGGAGCATAGTGTGAGCCCTACAGACCCCTCCAGCCCCCAGAGACCCCTCCAGCCCCTCAGCCCTCACCATGCTGGAATTGTGTCTCCACTTGCAGGTAGCGTCTTAGCAGGTCCAGCACCACTGCCTTCATGTAGCCTGGGATGCCGCTGCGGTACCTGCGGAGCAGAGAGCCCAGTGTGCTGTGAGGAGGTGGCAATGGTGGCGGAACCAGCGGGGCTCACGCACAGCACAGGGCTCATCACCTCTGCACCAGCTGCACCAAGCTCTGCGTGTTCATGAAGAAGACCTCCCGCTCAGCCTTCCTCTGCAGTGTGGCCGCATGGGTGTCCAGCACGCTGGCGATCTGCAGGGAGAGGGCACAGGGTCTGCTGCAGCTCAAGGGACGTTTTAAAAGTGCACGTAGTGACAAGTAGGAATGGCTTTAAACTGAACAGGGGGGGAACAGGGACACACTGAGAAGAGCTCTTGGGCAGAAGCTCTTCCCTGTGAGGGTGCTGAGGCACTGGCACAGGGTGCCCAGAGAAGCTGGGGCTGCCCCATCCCTGGCAGTGTTCAAGGCCAGGTTGGACACAGGGGCTTGGAGCAACCTGCTCTAGTGGAAGGTGCCCCTGCCCGGGGCAGGGGTTGGAGCTGGATGAGCTTTAAGCTCCCTTCAACCCAAACCACTCTGGGATTCTATGTCTTATAATATCTTTTAGCAGGACCATTTTCAGGCAGAAACTCCCAAGTAAGAAGGAAGCAAAGGCCAAGCCGGGGTGCAGCCCCCTGGCTCTCACCTGCTGGCTGGGGAAGCGGCAGAGCACGGAGGTGATGTTGCTGGCGTACTGCGCCATCACCTTCCGGATCGACTTCTCCACGGACAGTGGGATTCTGCCCGAAATGCTCGTCATGATCTCCTGCAGCTCCAGGAGGGGAAGGGACGGGTCCCGCAGGGTCTTCATCAGCTGGGCCACCCACTCCTTCACCTGCAGGTGAGGGGTAGCACCCATCAGTGCTACCCACCTTGCCATCATGGCAAACAGGAGGCAGTGGGGCAGGACACCAACCACCTCTGCCCCGTACCCACCTTGGCACTGAAGTAGGGCTCAGGCAGGCAGTACCCGTTCATGACATTGGTGAGATTCTCCAGCACGCTGCGGAGAACATGGTGCTGCTTCTCACCAGTGATGGGCAGGGCCTGCTGGGGTGGGAGCCCCCCCGTGAATGGCTGTGCCTGGAGAGAACAGAGGGAGGTGGGATGGGCAAGGTCCTTGCTGACAGGAGATGGAGCCCCGAGATCTGCAGCTGCTCCAGAGAAACCAGCACAGCCCCTCCAGTATCTGCTTTTAATTAGATACAGCAGAAGCACAAAACATTCAACTTCATGTCTATGCCATCATGAAGACAATGCAGAAACACTGGAGACGTAGACAGAATGCTATAGATGCACTAAAAACCTGCATGTGAGCTTCTGCACGTTAAGTAAGCACGCATGGGAAGCTTAGGCAGAGCAACACCGTGCCACACAGAGCAGCCACTGGAGCCCTGGTGCAGCCATACAAGTGCCACACTCTGCCAGCATGTGGACACATCCCTGCTGACACCCCAGCCAGAGCAGCTCCTCTGTTTTATGTCCCAGTATCCTGCAGGATGCCGCTTGGGAGCGGACAGGAGAGTACAGCAGCACGGCTGACCCAGGCACACTCACAGGCTTCACTTTGGTGGGATCATCCAGCTCGAGCCGGGCTATGACACATCCCACCTCCAGCAGTGCGCCCGGTCGCTTGATGTAGTGCACCCGCCCAGCCTCCTCCACCATCAGCGTCATGATGATCTTCATCACCTGGGTGAGGATGGGTGAAATGGCCACCAAGTGAGCAGCACCCATGTGCTACAGAGCACCTCAGGCATCACAGCAGCATCGGTGTGTTTCATCTTTGCCATCCACCAACACTGCTCTTCTGCAAAACTCACCTCAATCTCTGCAAACACACTCCCCTCATCCACATGGCCCCCATCCTCCACCGTGTACTGCAGCAGCTTCCCCGCGGAGGGTGAGCGCAGCACCGTGGGGTCCTTCTCCTTCTCGAAGTCACACGTTTTGTTGCCGATGGTGAGCCGGTATCTGAAGGAGAGGGGAAGGTCTCACCACCCAGCTGCTGCTCAGGGAGGACGGCTGGTGGGACACAGTGGGGAGGTACCTGTCAATCTCCTCCTTCATGTAGGTGGTGTAGCTGTTGCCATCATAGGAGAGCAGCAGCCCACCATCGTTGAGCCGGTGCACATCGATCTCTATGTACGTGTGGTTCATGATGATGACATATGTTGTCAGGGACTGACGGGCAACCTGCGGGCAATGGCCGGGGAGAAACTTCAGTGCAAGCTGTGGAACACGCAACGGCCCTTCTGGGACTGGTGGAAATGGCAGGGGGGCTTGCTGCAAGGCCCTGGGCAGGAGCAGCCTGCTGCCACGGGATGGGGCTGTGCCACGAGGGCAGGAGGCAGCCATCTCAGGCTGCACCAAAGAGCTGCTTCAAATCACAGCCTGGAGCTGGTTTAACTCACGGTTCACCAGTTGCTTTCATTTTAAGTAGGGTTTTTTTTTTTGGCATAAAGTTCAACTAATGGGGTTTAAAAGCAAGAAGAGGAGGTCCTTTAATAAACTCATGAAAATGTCTACTTAAAATGAGGTTATTAACTTCATTTTTATGCTGCATATTTTTAAAGGACAACCTCCTATTGAATGCATCATTCTCCTTCAGGGCAGCAGCACACATCCCTGACTCCAAAGTGCTGTGGCTGGTTTGAGGGGAGCACAGCCCCATCCTCACCTGGAGGATGTACTTCACGCCCTCATAGATGAGCTCCACATCAACCATGTTCAGCAAGGAGGCTGCTGGCAGGACCTGCCCCCTGGAACACAACAGCCGGGTCAGGCACCACAAGTGCCACCTGCCCCGCGCGGAGCCAAGTGTGTGAGGTGTCAGCGGCGCTGCTGGCCACGGGCCATGCGGGAGGGCACCCGGTGACAGCAGGGGACAAGCATATGCTTTACATGACCCACGTGAGCACCCTGCAAAAATGCATCTGGAGACAGGCCAGACACTGGCAAAACACAGAGATAAGGGTGTGGGGGAGAGCCCCCCAGTGTCCTCCAAGGCTGGAGGAATAACCTTGACATTCAAGTGCAAAAAAAAAAGCAAGCAGTGTTCAGCCAAGCTACTTTCCCTTCAAAGCTGTTTTCCCAACCATGGGAAACTTCCCCCCCTTTCCAGATAAAGCTGGAGCTCTCTGAGTCACAGTAAATACCCGCCTCCTGACTGTTGCCTCCAGATTTGCAAAGCTTTAGCAGCAGAAGTGGGAAGGAAGATGGCCCAAGGAGAACAACTCCTGGGCCTCCAGGCTTGCAGGAGCCACACAGGCTGCTGTGAGCCGCCCTCTAGGACACGCACTCCCTGTGCCCACAGTGCTCATGTCACAGGTAAGCCCCCACCAGGCAGTCCCTGCTCTGTACCTCTCCAGTGTGTGCAGGAAGTCAGTCATACACGTCCTGAAGGCAGCATCAGCAACGTTCAGGGCACCACAGACAACACCCAGCATCGTGTCAGGCTTCTCTGCCTATGGGTGGCAAACATGACAGCACTTAGGTCTCACACCAGCAGGGCAGTGATAACGCTGAGGGGAACAGTCTCCCCTACCTGCACTTTCTCAGCAATCAGATGGTCCAGCCAGCCCGTGTCTATGGCATTGTTCTGGAAGCTCTCTGTCTCCAGCAGCTTAATCAGATACTCCACTGTGGTCCGGAAGTCCCCACGGATAGACAGCTCCTTCAGGGCAACCACCATGTTCCTTTAGAGACCAAAAGCCTCCGTTAATGACTGATGAAGCCGTGCCTGGCTTCCAGCTGAAACCAGGGAACCACAGGGACTAGCGTCATGAGCTCCCAAGCCCTGGGTGCCCTCATGCCTGGAAGGAACAGCCTCACAGTCAGCACTGACTTAAAACCCTTAAATACCCCAGATACGCTCGTTACATGTCACCCAGTTACTGACTGAACATTGCTGTTCACTGGCACTAAGCACATACGCAGCAGATCACTAGAACGTATCTTTAAGGATCAGGTTGATGTGCTGGGGCCATAGCACCACCACAGCCCGAAAACTTTGGCTTTGGCCAGTGCCTCTGCAGCAAACAAGAGGCACCATTCTGGTCCTCTCAGATAAAAGCCGCTTTTCCCAGCTCATGCACTGATTGTGAGTCCTCCCAAGGACACCCGCTCTCTCCCTCCTGTCCCACCACACTCACGAGATGGCCTCTTCCCGGTTCTCTCCCCACGAGAAGCAGTGCCCAAACTGGGAATCAGCAAACTCGTGCAGCCCCCCGGCTGCTGCCACGCTGAAGTACCCCCAGACGTTCTTGCTGCTGCGGAAGTTCAGCTCCTGCACCGTCCCCGAGCTGGGCTTGAAACCCTGAGTGAAGACAGAGCAGAAGCCATGGAGAAACCCCTGTGCCGTTTATTCCCAGCCCCATGGGTTCAATGCCCACTAACACTGCCCAGCTGGGGAAGTCCATGCCCAGTTCATCCCATAAGAGGCAGGGTCCCCCCACCCGCACACATGGGGTCGGTGCCCAAGAGCCCATCCCCTAGCTCACCTCCTCGGGGTTCTCGCTGGTGATCCGGGCAGCAATGACGTGGCCCCTGGGCACAGGGGCGTTGGTGGGGCTGTGGAAGCTGATGGATGTATCACCCCAGGGGCTCTCCCCATACAGCACCCGGATGTCTTTTATCCTGTGCAAGGGGATGCCCATTGCGATCTGCAGGGAAAAGACGACTTCAGCATCTAAATTACAACTGGGAGACGCGGGAAGATGGTCTGAATGAAGAGCGAGGGGAAGAAGCTGCAGGCAGCTACTCCTAGCAGGAAGCCAGAGATGAATGAGGGCTGCTACGTTGCTTCCACCTGCACCCTACATGCTACTGTATGTGACACCTTCCCTCTGCCAGGCTCCGGCCCAGCACTTCTCCCTGAATTACAAGACTGCTTCATGTGAGTCCTCAGTCACCCACGTGCGCTCAGGTACCTGCAGCTGGGCAGCAGGGAGGTTCACATCCGCGATCATCTCTGTGCAAGGGTGCTCCACTTGCAGGCGTGGGTTCAGCTCGAGGAAGTGGAAGCTGCCATCCTCGCTGTACAGGTACTCCACAGTGCCCGTGCTCACGTAACCCACCACCTGCGCCAGGCGGACCGCGCACTGCGGGAGAGGGCGAGACCACGCGGGGAGCAACGACACTTCCCTGCAGCAGAGCCGGGGTGGCCCGAGCAAGCAGGGACTGAGACCCTCTGCTTGGTGTTGGGGGTCCCTCCCCTCCTCGGGTTCCAAACCCCGCAATAAACCCAGCAAGGATCAGACCAGTTCTTTTGCTATATATGCCTTAAGACCCACCTGCTCCATCACCTCGATGACGGAGGGTGCCGCGATGCTGACGGGCGCTTCCTCGATGATCTTCTGGTGCCGGCGCTGGATGGAGCAGTCCCGGCCGAAGAGGGAGATGGCGCGGCCGTACTCGTCAGCCAGCACCTGCACCTCCAGGTGCCGCGCGTGCTGCGCCAGCTGCATCAGGAAGATGGGGGACCCGGGGGCCTCTGCCTGCACCTGCAGCGAGGGAGAGGGTCGTGCTCTGGCATCACCCCTCCAAAATTCATCCCAGGATGGAGACGGGTCCTGAGTGAGCCTGGGGTGGGAGCAGGACCCTGCTGTATGACCCAGGATGGGACGGGAATGGGTGGTCTGGGCACCTCTCACCTGCCGGAAGCAGGTGCCAAATTCCTCTGCTGCTTCCACTTTTCGGATGCCTTT